ATATATATGTAAAATTAACATTATAGTTTCATAATTTCAGTGTGTTTTTTATTTTAGCTCTCGAGGAGCATATCTTTCAAATATACGACCAGAATTTCTGTTTGAACCAAAAGATTATAAAAACTGGATTGAAATGACTGTAAGTGAATGTAATTTTAGAGGGGAAAAATCTGTATAGTTACTATTAAATGTATTGCTATTCAAACTTTGTTAGAAAATTCTATTTGCTTCTTTATTCAAACTTTGCTAGAAAATTCTATTTTATTTGCTTATTTAAACCTCTTTGAACACCCATAGTTCATTTATACTTACATTTGACCAGCATTTTTAGTAATGTTGTAACATTTTCTTTCTTAAAGGTTTCCAGTGATGATATGCCTGTAAATTCTTATACTTCTAAGGAAAATAATCCTTTTATTATAGATTTAGCTGACTTTGAAGGCTTGAGTAAATGGGCATGGACAGAAGTATTCCTTCAAATGTACAAGGTACCTTTTACACTCAAGTTCACTGCTATTTTGTTGTGTCAGACTTTATTAGTTAAGGTATAAGTAGAGCTGCTGGCAATAAGACTAAAACAGATACAGTGGGTTAAAGAAAATATTAATTTCTTTATTTCTTGTATATCTGCAGAGAAATGAGTAGTTCCATACCACTGTGATCTCTCCTCAGTGCCAAGCTTAGGTGGAATTTCTCAGAGAAAAAAGCAGGAAAAAGGATCGTGGGGGCAATATCCCTTTTAAGAATGTAACTGGAAAAATTCCTAATTTCTATTTCACATTGCACTGTGCGTGCCAGAATCACATGGCCAAATCTAGCTGCAAGAGAAGTTGTGTGGCTGTGGGAGGTTCTGGTACTGAAAGGAAAAAAAAAAAAAAGAATGGATAGTTAAGTAGATTACAATCTAATTATAGTTTGTAGTAGAGCCTTACCATAAATTTATTACAGAAAGATACTGGCAAGGAAGTATACTATTATAGATGACATCGAAGTTTGATGAGACTTTCCAACTTCCTTCGTACCAAAGTGTGTGTGGTGGGATTAACTTAACATAAAATGCATACATTATCTTTTTATTGCATAAACAAATGTGCATACTCTCTTCAGTCCTGAGAATCATTACCTAAGTTTCTAAAAAAATAGCACTATATAGATCTTGTGCACTAAATACAATGACATCTTTGTCATTACACTTGTCCATGGCAGATAGAATGAACTGTATCATGGTAGGGAGAAAGACAAATAATCCCTTCTTGTGCAGTTAATAGTTTCTTTTTTTAAGAAAATTTATCTTATTATTTGTGTGTGTCTGTGCTGTCAAATCAGATCTGACTGGCACAGGAGGAGATTGCCCCTCCTTCTTCAGCAGAGCATTCGGTGGACTAAAACCATGCACCTCTAGGATTGCAGTGCAGCTTCCTGCCACTACGCCACCAGAGCTCGCCAGTTAATAGTTTCTTAAAACCCAATGGAGGGTCCTTTCACACTTGATGGCAATGAGTTATGTTGAGTTATGATAGATGTAGAGTGTGATAGGAAGTAGTACTCAAAGCACATAAGCTCATCTCCCACAGAGCAGTTACTAGACTACCTGCCTGTTTTCGGGTTAGCAGTGCAACCCGATACTTACTATGCCATCAGAGCCTGCTCATTAGTAAGTATTATGTGTAAAATTCTGTCACTAAACACTGCTTCTATATCTCATTTACTGTTCAAAATTAATTAGTCCAAGTTTAGACCCGAAGAAACTGAAGCTCACAGACACTAATACTTTCTTCCCAGATCACGTGATTTTTGGTCATAGGCAACAAGTTCCTATAGATAAATCTAATTTATTCCTTGTTTCCTGCTGAGACCCCAGGTCTCAGGACCCCTGTGTGGCTCTCTGGCAGTCTCAAGTCTCCATTGAAGCCAGACAGTGGAGTGTCTAGGAAGTTCCTTCTGCTGTAAGCTTCCCATTTATTTCTCCTCTCCTCCTCTTCTTCTTCCTCTAATTCACTGCTCTGTCTGCCTTGGAGATATCAAGAAGATAAATTCTGTTGATCTTTAGGTCATTCTCAGAGAATATATTTGTGATTACGCCAAACTTAGGAGTAGAGGAAGACATTCTCTCTCTCCTTTTTTTTTTTAACTCTAGGCTACATAATGCATAGTTTTGCTGACTTTAGAAGCAAACTAGTTTTGATTTTGAGCTTCATTAATTTTCTCATGTATCGTGAGTTTTGAAACTACAAATGACTTACAAGCTTAGCAGCCAGTAGAGTATCTGGTACATAAAAACAAAAACCACAGCGACTGTTCTCATTGAGTTGATTCTGATTCATAGTGAACATTTAAGTAGGACCATCCCTTAGGATTTCTTAGGTTGTAATCTCTATGAAAATAGACTCCCGCATCTTTCATTCAGGGTAGCAACACCACTCCTTATGGAGTAGGCTACCAGAGATCCCAACATCTTTACTTTGGGAAATGACTGCAAGATTGAAACCACTGGCCTTTTGGTTAGCAGCCAAGTGCTTAGCCAACTGTGACACCAGGGTTGTATGCTGGAGTATAGTGGATGCACGTGAATAATGATTGATTTCATTTATTCAACAAAGTAGTAGTCTTTTTACTGTTGTTGTTGTGTACCGTTGAGTCAGAACCGACTCATACTGACTGACCCTCTTGCAGGTTTTCAAAGGCAGTTAATTGCACAGGTATGTGTGTGTGTCTGTGAGATTACCCATCCTTCTCCCGCAGATTAGAACTGTGTGCTTTCAAGACTGCAGTGCAGCTTCCTACCACTAGGCCACAAGAGCTCCCTAGACTTTGTAACAGGCTCATAGAAAATAATAGCATACTTGATATAGTCTCTATCCTCAATGAATTTATGGCCTGGAAGAGAATGTAAGCAAATAAATGATTATAAGGCAGGATGAAAAAGTGCTATGAAAAGGTAAGTCCAAGAACCTGGATAAGTGCATATACTGTATATTTGCATATAACAGAAACACTCAAATAGTACACCCATGCATGTAGCGTGCATAGGAAACTAGCTCTGGAGGAATTTCCATGGCTTTTAAAACTTTAGTGTGCATGACATTCGTGCAAAAATTCAGTAGATAGAAATCTAACTTAGTTCTTGGCCATTGAGAAGACTTTGAAAAAGGAAAGAAATGAAAACTGAGCCCTAAGAAATGCTAGGAATTTTTTTAGGCAAACAGGTCATAGAGAGAGGGAGAGAAATGGTAAAATTTTTCTTAAGGGTATAGTGGATAGGTTTGATGTTGTTGTTGTTGTTATGTGCCGTCAGGTCGCTTGCGACTCATAGCGACCCTATGTAACAGCCCTAAACTCCACTCTGTCCTGTGCCAATCGCACTGTCTCTAACACTCCCATCCCAATTATCCCAGTCACTGAATCAATCCACCTCATAGCGGGCCTTCCTCTCCTGCGCTGTCCCTCCACCCTCCCAAGCATGATATCCCCCTCCAGGGACAGGTCCCTCCTCACAACATGTCCAAAGTATGTTAGACGGAGCCTCAGAATCTTTGCCTCCAAGGAGCCACCCGGTTTAACCCTTTCCAGGACAAATCTGTTTGTTTTCCTATCAGTCCATGCTATTCTCAATA